AGAAGCATCGATCAGATGCTCAAAACTCAGAGGGAAGGTAGGGGAGGGTTGGGGGGAGGGGGAGAGATCAACCAAAGGACTCGTATGCATGCATATAAGTGATGGATGTGGACAACGGGGTGAGGATGAGGGCAGGATTGGGGGATGAGAGGACATTGGGGGAATAGGGACACATTTGTAATATCTTAATCAATAAAGGGAAAATAAAAAAAATAAAAAAGAAATCACCACAAATTTATATCTATGTCTCTATATGTATATCTAGATCTATATATGTATATATATATACCTTTATATTTATCTTTTGTGTTTTGTTTATTTGCAGAACCCTGGCTAAATACAGTGATGTTTGAAAGATTAAAAAAGAAAGATAAGAAAGAAAGAAAGAAAGAAAGAAAGAAAGAAAGAAAGAAAGAAAGAAAGAAAGAAAGAAAGAAATTGAACTGTTAATTTGTAAAACTCCTAATAAAGAAATATACTAGCCCAGTTGTTTCACTGTAGAATTCTGCCAAATGTTTTAAGAATTAACATTAATTGTACACTTTGAGTAATAGGAGAGAGACCACTTCCCACCTCATTTTATAAGACCGGTATTATCTTGATACAAAATCAGACACAGTACAAATAAAATTGCAGACCAACACCCCTCATGAATGTATATGCAAAATTCTTCACAAAATATTAGCAAATAGAATTCAGCAATGTATAAGAAGAATTCTACACCTTGACCAAGTATGGTTTTATTCCAGGAATCAGACTGGTTCCCTTTCAAAAATCCATTTAATCCACCATTTCATTCTATTTTTCTCAGGGCTTCCAAAGAATATCGAATAGAAACATTTAGGAAAAGTCAATAATTAATAAGGTATCCATTTAATGGATATGGACCTACTATGGGCCCAACCCTGGATATCGTACCAGTAGTTTAGTAGTCTTGATATTTTCTAAAATCCTGCTAGAGCTGCCAACTTCAGAGAAGAGATGCAATAACTTGTCCTCCCCTATGTAAATGATATACATCAGGGGTCCTCAAACTACGGCCCGCGGGCCACATGCAAATACAAATATTGTATTTGTTCCCGTTTTGTTTTTTTACTTCAAAATAAGATATGTGAAGTGTGCATAGGAATTTGTTCATAGTTTTTTTTAAAACTATAGTCCGGCCCGCCAATGGTCTGAGGGACAGTGAACTGGCCCCCTGTTTAAAAAGTTTGAGGACCCCTGATATACACTTTTGGTTTCCCCCCCATCCATCATTTTATGAGGCAGTAAGTGTAGGGTAGACAAGAGAATAGAGTTGGTGGTCCATTTCTTAAACAAACTCTCTAAATCTCAGGTACTTCATTTGTAAAATGAGAATATCCATTTGAGACTGTTGGGAGGATTAGAGATAAGGTATGTATGTATATAAACTATAGTCGATATTCTACTTAAAACCTTTCAATGCTTCTGTGTATACTAGTACTTATTCCCACATATGTGTTTTTGCCCTATGGGCAGCATCCTCTGACTCCAGAACTCCCCATGATGGCTCTTGTCTTCATTCAGGTCCCCATGAGGCCTTTTCTGACAACCCAATACAAAAGAGTACAATGGAACCTTGGTTCTCAAACTTAATTTGTTCCAGAAGGCTATTGGAGAAGCAATTTGTTTGAAAACCGAATCATTTTTCCCATTAGAAATCATGTAAATTGAATTAATTCATACCAGACCCCCAAATGATTCCTTCTTTTAACCTTTCTTATATACATGTCTAATGCACTATTTAATCTATAAATAAACACTTTAAAAAAGGACATGAACTGTAAATGAACATTTAACAAAAAAGGAAATGAAATGTACAGTAAAAATAAATATTTAAAAGTAATAAGTAGCAACAAAAGCAAAATAACCCATTAAAATATTCACAGCACAATTTCCTGAGATGTTTATAATGTGAGGTTTAGTGGTAAACTGACTCATACTCATGCATTATCTCCTTTGTTTGTCACCTGATAGACTTGTGACTGATCATACAGGCATCAGCATAAAAGGGTTGTCAGGTTGAGAAGCGAATTGTTCAAGATGAGAGATAGTCAAGAACTGAGGTTTGACTGTATTCCCCCAGGCACTTCTTACCACTGTTGGTTTACTTGATATCACTTAACACTATCTGAAATTTTCTCATTCCTTCCTTTGTGTGATTATGCGGGCAGGAGATGTGTCTGTCTTGTTTCTCACTGATTCACCAGTTCTTAAATAGTGTCACTCCCTTCCCAATGCCCAGATCTTTCCTTTCCTTAGTGTTTTACCATTCCCTAGCCAACAGGCTGTGTTTCAGGGTGAACATAGCCTGTGGGGAAGCATAGGACTTGGTTAGAAAGTCTGTAAAGCCCTGAACGGTTTGGCTCAGTGGATGGAGTGTTGGTCTGTGGACTGAAAGGTCCCAGGTTCGATTCCGGTCAAGGGCATGTACCTTGGTTGCAGGCACATCCCCAGTGGGAGGTGTGCAGGAGGCAGCTGATCGATGTTTCTAACTCTCTATCCCTCTCTCTTCCTCTCTGTAAAGGATCAATAAAATATATTTTTTTTTTAAAAAAGGAAGTCTGTAAAGAGGAAACTCTGAAAAGTCGGAACCTCCTGGGGGAGTTGGCTGAAGGCAATAGCCCCTGCCTTGATCTTTCCAAACAAGTCTGTGTACACACGAGCCCCCAGGTGTTTACTGGAATCTTTATGCTTAATCTTTAGACGTCCTTGCTTAAAGGACACTACAGATGCATGACTTCTCAAGGATACTTACCTTGCTGATAGTATCTAGTAGTTAATTTTAGTTCAAGCTGTTGTTACAATAAAAGCCTAAGGAGACAGGTGAATGGGACTGTTTGGTTTCTCTAGCCAGGCACTCCCTTAGCCCTCTCTTTCACAGAAACATGTGTCAGAGTAATCATTCATCTGTCACTCAGGGTCTGCTGGTCAGCCCTGGCAATAACCTAATCCAGAATTCAAAATCCTGATCAGACCTCACCACACGTGTAAGTGGACTTCACCTTAACCCAGAGACAATGACTCTCATTTTCTGTAATGACACAAAGCTGCTTTTACCCAAGGGAGGATCTGATGCAGCACAGCATCCATTTTCAGCCCAGTCATCCCACAGGTACTGGTGTCAGACAGAGATTAGGCTGGAGTTGGGAGTGTCATCTATGACTCTTAGAATAGTTACATGTGCTTAGAGTGGAGCAGCAAAAATAAAGAGGCACAGCCATGAGGAACATGTATATTTAAAATTCCTCCCCTTCATTTTCTTCTTCAAATGAATCAGTCCCCACTTCTTCATAATCCTTCTCTAGGGCAGCTAGGTCCTCCCTGGCTTCAGAAAATTCTCCTTCTTCCATTCCCTCTCCAACATACCAATGGACAAATGCCCGCTTGGCGTACATGAGGTCAAACTTGTGGTCAAGGCGGGCCCAGGCCTCCGCAATCGCTGTGGTGTTGCTCAACATGCAGACAGCCCGCTGGACTTTGGCCAGGTCCCCTCCTGGCACCACAGTAGGTGGCTGGTAGTTGATGCCCACCTGGAGAACAGAGAAAGAGGAGGAACAACAAAAGAAGATGCAGGGTAGCCAAAGGGTGACTTGAGATGAGGCAACTTCATCACATGGTATGGGAGCAGGACTCAGGCACAGGCATGAGAGTGGGACTATAGGTCTAGGGGTGAAAAGAGGGGAGCAGGAGGTTGGGAAGCAGGGAGATAGAGAGAGAAGTAAATGCTGAGAAGAAAGTAAAAGTGAGTGGGATTGGGTATAGGCAAATTCAAGAAGAAGGACTAGAGAATCTAAAGACTGATGAAGACAAAAAGGAGAACAGGGCTGGTAATAGAGATGTTTGTGGGGAGATTCACGTAGACAAATGAGGGTAATGAATGAGACTATTAAGGGGGAGGTGTATAATACTGGTACATGTTTATCTCTAAAGTGGAAATACATTCCCTTTTAGAGGCAAATTAATTTCTAAACTTGAAGTTATTATGAAGTTTATTCTTTCTCAAATAGTCATTTGAAGTTCCTCTTAGTTATGCTGTCAAAAAATTTAGGGAAGTTTCTCTGCCAAGGGTGAAGGGTTGTTTAAAAGGTCATAGAGATATTCCAGAGCAATAAATAAAAAGATCCAAAAGGCCTGGCAATGGAGTTAGTGTTAATCAAGCCTTGTGTCTCTAAGAAGTGGAGCTTCTTAGAAGAAAAGCAAGGACTCCAAGCAAAGAAAATTAGTTTAAAACTCTTGCCTGGACAAGCCTAATTCTGGTAGCATGGCACGGTCCACCAACAAATCCAGCTCAATCTTATGGTGGGGCTACTATGCTAGAAATCTTTCTTTTCCTCACATACATATCAAACCAAAGCCAAGCCTAGGAACTGTAGAAAGCTGGAAGAAATCTAAAGTGACAAACTGTGATAATACTTATGGACTAAGATTCATGGTGCCACCCAAAAAATACCTCTTCTTACCCAGACTACCATGCATTAATTGCCAATCTCTTCAATTCATAGCTTTAAAATAAATACATGGCTTCCTGAGAGACAGAGGTGGGAGTGGCAGCAGGCTATACAGCTAAGGTGGTTAACCCATTAAATGGACTCACAAAGGTGAATCCTCTTAGATAAAAGTGGTATCTTGGTGATAAAGGTGATGCTAAGACAGAAGTAAATACCAAAAATAAGAATGGGAAGGGCAATGAATATGAACTCAGCCACATTACATAATTTGCTAGATCTGGCCCTAACAAGCAAAAACTTGTTGCCTAGAGCTAACTCTCTTTTTGTGAACAATAGTATTCCTTGACCTAAATTAAGTGGAGACAAACACCCTTGAGAAGGATGAAAGAGGAGGAAGTTCAACAACAACTTTCCCACAGCCTGTGCTTTTCTGAAAAGCAGATCAAGTTGATGGCTACCTTATCTTTCTGGACATGACCCCAAAGCTTCAGTTTAAAATAAAGGAGAGAATGGGAGAGGTCTCCCTTTTGTTAATTTCCCCACCACCCTCACATCTCATTTTTTCTACCTTCTTCTTATTAGCATGTTTTATTATTTCCATTTGAGAGAGGGGGGAAAAAAGAACTGCATTTTTTGAAGAGTGTGACTGTTTTCATAAGAATAACCAGAACTTACACATAAAATAGGCAGAATCTAGAAAAAAAGATTATGTATGTAGCTATGAGTAGGGCAATGAGGAAGAATGTTACAATTCCTTACTCAGCAGATCAGCTAGGTCAGAGCTTCATAGACAAAACAGATCAGCCAAGAGGCTGGCACATGGTGCCTTGTTTTTGTAAGTCCCACCAAGGAAAAACTGAGACATGTTCATCACTGTCTCCAGTCCGGTGCTCAGTAAACCTCTGAATTATTAAAGGCCTGGGCAGTACAAATTAATATAAATGGTGGTAGTTATTTTGCTGGTGGAATCTCTTTAAAGACCATGGAACACAGGGCAAAGTGATCAATCAGTTCACATGTTTAGAGCCAGCTGCATGCCCTGGTAGTGCAAGTCAAACGGTGGCTTTATCACTATTCAGTGTTTAACTAGCACTTTATCCAGGGGTCTTCCCTGGATATTCCACATTCCCCCAAGAATATTTAATTTTTCACAATAAATTAGGAGGACACATCTTTTGTTAAGAGGAGGGAATTTTACCTCTTTGGCAACATGAATAATTTGGTTATCTCCATTTTCTAATACACTGTCAGATTACAACTACCTCTACTCCTTCATCCTGTTCATATCATTTGCCCACACATGTTCTTTCTAGCCTGTCCACTCCTCCCTATAAAAGAAATACCCTTTTCTGCCTGACCTGTGAGATGCTTGCAGATCTTAGGGTAGGAGCTGTAGAAGTCTTCTCCCTATTGCAATAGTGCCCCTCCTGTTCTTTTACTAATCCTTTCTAATAAATTCCCCCCTTACCTGTATAAATTAAATGAGTGAGTGAATGAATGAATTTAATTAATGGTATAGTTGGCTTAAGCTCCTCTTCCCATATCATTCCAATAAAGCCTGAAGTGTCCATGGAATTGTATATCTGTCCAAGACTCTGGAGTTTATACATCCTTCTCCTCCATCCTTGGTAATCTACCTCTGCTTCTCTAGTTGTCTAACTCCTCCCTATGTCATCAGCTCTCACCTTGAAGCCAGTGGGACACCAGTCTACAAACTGGATGGTCCTCTTGGTTTTGATGGCAGCAATAGCAACATTCACATCCTTGGGCACCACATCCCCACGGTAGAGCATGCAGCAGGCCATGTACTTGCCATGTCTTGGGTCACACTTCACCATCTGGCTATTGGGCTCAAAGCAGGAGCTGGTTATCTCAGCCACGGAAAGTTGTTCATGATAGGCTTTCTCAGCAGAGATGATGGGTGCATAGGTGACCAGTGGGAAGTGAATGCGGGGGTAGGGCACCAGGTTGGTCTGGAACTCGGTGAGGTCCACATTGAGGGCCCCGTCAAAGCGGAGAGAGGCAGTGATGGAGGATACAATCTGGCTGATAAGGCGGTTGAGGTTGGTATAGGTGGGGCGCTCAATGTCTAGGTTCCTGCGGCAGATGTCATAGATGGCTTCATTATCTACCATGAAAGCACAATCTGAATGTTCCAGTGTGGTGTGAGTGGTTAAGATGGAGTTATAGGGCTCGACCACTGCAGTGGAGACCTGGGGGGCTGGATAGATAGCAAACTCTAGCTTGGACTTCTTGCCATAATCCAGGGAGAGGCGTTCCATCAGTAGAGAAGTGAAGCCAGAGCCAGTGCCCCCACCAAAACTATGGAAGATCAGGAAGCCCTGCAAGCCAGAGCAGGCATCTGTCTTGGGAGAGTAAAACATGAGAAGAAAACATGAAGACAAGTTTCTAAGAATACCCTAATGTGGACAAAGGCAGGCAATCCTTCTGTCTGCCCCACTACATCCCTCAACATTTTTACATGGGTGAAATCAAAGCAGCCTTTCAGTTTAGAAAAGGGGTTATAGTGGTCATTAGTCTCAAAACTGTCTGATCCCCAAAAGTTCAGAACCACTGGATTACACCCTGTGAATCTATGAAATCTCTATCCTTTAGCCTAGGGCCATATGCCTCTACCCATTCTTCTCAGAGAGATATGAGTCTCTAAACCTATTCACCTTAGCCTGCCCTTATTAACACTTACCAACTTCCTTATGCGGTCCAGCACCAGGTCGATGCTCTCCTTGCCCACTGTGTAGTGGCCCCGGGCATAGTTGTTAGCTGCATCCTCCTTTCCTGTGATCAGCTGCTCTGGATGGAAGAGCTGGCGGTAGGTTCCTGCCCGAACCTCATCTACCAAGAGAGGAGGACCATCAGGTCTTACTATCTCCTTTTCCATTAGAATATCATATAATACCCTTCTGGGTCATCACTTCCCCACTGTAAAACTCTACAAAGGTGAATCCAGACAACCTTGTAACAAATGTGAAAAAGGCTAAGTCTAAAGTGACATAGGCACTAAAAGAACCAGAAGCCAGTGACTCCAGCAGGTGATGAGAAGCCTGCTGCTCTCCTGGCTGCAACTTTAAAAAGCCTTAACTTTACAAAGCTCACTGAACACAAAGGTTGATTGCCACTCCTTCCATCTACCTTGATCCCTCAAGGCTTCCCTCTTATTTTTTCTTTCATGCTGCAAAGTTACCTCAAAACTTAACCTGATTTCACTTGCATTAAAATGTTCTAGAGACACAGAGAAAGATTCAGGGTGATCTGCCCAGTTCCTAGTCTCTCCCGGGAATAGTCCCCCATCACCTTCACCTCAAGGTGATAATAATATATATCAGGCATTAGAGTTACTTTAGAATGAAAGGTTCTAGAGGAGCAGGAGCCCTGGAAAGGCTGTCAAGAGCACTCTGCTCACCTCTAAGGGTCCACATGAAATGGGCACATAGCCAATTAGAGGCATCAGGTCCAAACTACACCCCTTCTTCTCTTCAGGGGGTCTCCTACTCCCCTAGAGAAAGCATCCATTTGCATGGTGGCCTGTGAGGGTAATCTGCATTTTTTGTATTTGTACAAAGTTCTCAAAGGCAGAAGTACCTGGAGTCAGCTGTGCCTAGAAATTAGTGGTCAGGCGTTATAGACATTTGCCCAGACATCCCTATGAAACTTATCCATCCCTTGATTGTTGACCCAGCTTGGAGCTGAGGAAATCCAGAACCAGGGAAGTGGTGCTTGAGGGGGTGAACTCAAGGAGAGACCTGAATTTCTGTTTTCTAAGATTCAAATGAAGGTCAAGCTTCTATAGCCACTTCTGGTTATGAGAAAAATGCCTATTATTCCATTTTGTGTGCCAGACACTGCAAGCTTATATCAAACCCGTGAGAATAGGTTGAAATTATTATAGAATCGGAAACCTTGAGAAATTGGCTATTTGGGGCCTTCCTATAATACCTAAAATCATTTGTATTTTTTAGCCTTAGTGTAAACAATTTTGACAATTTAATCTGTCTCCACTGGTTTAAGCAGAGAACATTTTATTTGCAGTTAGAGCTGTGATGGGAGAGCAAAGAGTCCTGGTTCCTATTGTGAGTTCCCCAATTATGGACAATTCAAGGAGCTGACAGACATCATGGGGAGCAGAAGGGCTCTAGCTGAGACATCCCCACCTTCCAGTTAAAGATTCTGCTTTGTTAGACTCATGGACAAAGCCTCACAGTCTCATGTTGCTTTCTATGGGAGGGTCCTAGTCCATACTCACCTACGACAGTAGGCTCCAGGTCTACCATGACAGCCCGGGGCACATGCTTTCCATTGCCAGTCTCACTAAAAAAGGTGGTGAATGAGTCGTCATCATTGATCTTGCTGGCCTGGGCACCAAAGGTGCCATCTGCCTGAATGCCGTGTTCCAGGCAGAAGAGCTCCCAGCAGGCATTGCCAATCTGAACTCCTGCTTGACCCACATGGACTGATATGCATTCCCTCTGTGGGGAGAGTGCAGAATCACGGTCAGAGAGCCCTAGGACCTAGCCATGTCTCTGTCCTGTATCTCCCACATCTGAGGACTTGTCTCTCCTGGCATTCACCTCACAGGATGTCTATCCCCCGAGCCATGCCATTCCCAGAACCAGGGTCTGAGGTCTCAGGTGTCTGAGGACCATTGCAGGGTACTAAGAATTAGCTCTGATGAACCACCATTTTGTGGTTTGATCTAAAGGTTGCTTTCCAAGGTTAATTCTTTATAGCAAGAAAAGGAAAAAGGGGACAGATGCACCAAAGAAACAAGGGACTAATACTCAACCATGAGACTTCTGTGCTGATGAAGGAGGTCAAAGATGGAACCAGTGATAACAGCAAAAATTACCCCTAAATTCACTACCATACACAGTGGTAACATTCATATCTGTGCCCAGACCCTGACTTTCCTAGACAGCAGGCACACACATGCATGCACACACGCAGAGTCTCAAAATATCATAGAGTGGATAAACATTCATGGAAGGAGTATACTTTGGATGTATCATGGGTACAATTAGTATTCTGATCACAAACATAGGAATAAGAAAGGGTTGGTCCTTAAAGAGTCTGAACAGAAACTCTGGCATCAAAGACTCTAGGCCTGCGCTGTCCACTGCAGTGGCTCCAGTCACTGTGACTGTTGAGAACCTGAAATGTAGCTCATCCAAACTGACATGTTATAAATGTCAAACATACACTGGGTTTCAAAACTTATTATTAAAAAGAAGGCAAAATATCTCATTCATAATTTTTATATTAATTTCATGTTAAAATTTGTTGGGTATCTTAATTCATTGTATTTTATTTTATTTCTAAATAAAGGGTTGGTACATCAGCAAGGGATAATTGGGAGTATATAAATTAGACTCTTCCTGAACTCTGAGAAGTTAAAAAATTTCTCTGTAGCCACCACAACCTATTTCCTTGCCTATGTCTGGCCAAGTGTTAAATGAAGCTGATCTTTAGAGTGCTCTTACCTCTTACCTCTGTGTTACTCAGATGTGAAGCCACAATTACCCGATTGTCCTAGCACCAACAGCTTAGGAGGGTTTTTTGGGGGTGAGGGGGGTGAGAATGAGTGTGTATGTGAATGTGTATGAATAGAAACCAACCATGGGTTTTTTCTGGGAGGAGGGCTTCATTTCCCCTACCACAACCCACCCACCTGTGAGGAAGCAGTGACCAGAACAAGATGACTCTGTGCTTATGACCCCCACCAGAGGCCAGCAGGAAATCATGTGCTTGATCTGTGAGTTTCTATTCTTATCCATGACCCTACCTGGTATTTTCCATCTCTGGGTAACCCAAGCCAGACACAGAGCCTCCAGAGCACGTGGTTGGGCATGGAAACACATTGAGTACAGGTCAGAGTATAGGACTCCTGGAAACTTGGAATTTCTCTAGAGATGGGAGCAGAGCATCTACTCTGAGTAACATCTCAAAGGGTCAGAGATTATCAGGACTCATTGCTCCCTAATTAAATTTTCCAACTAAACACCAACTCTACACATGTCTCTGTGCCCTTGCCTTTGGTGAGGCTAGAGTACAGGTATTCACAGCAGCCAATAGATAACACAGCCAAGCTGGGACTACAACCTGGCTGCTTTTCCATGACCCTGGTGTCCAGGGTAAGGCTTCAGTCACAAAGTTGCCCACACTCCTGGGTTTGAATCTTGTTGTATTAATTATTTGCTATGTTGTGTGACCTTGGCTGAGTTACTTAACCTCCCCTTGTCTGAAAATAATAAGTTAGCCATGGTTATTATTGTCATCTTTACCAACATCAATTTCATTATTCTACCCTATAGCTTTATTTTCCACCTGGAAGAGATACAAATAGAAAGATAGAGACTTCAGGCCCCCATTCCACTCACTTTTATTGATAAGTCTATTTTTTGTCTTCACATTAGGACTCAATTCTGACCTAAGAACAGCAGTGTACCACAACCCAGGAACTACCCACAACCAGCACATTATCGACCAAACTATATTTTCACATCCAGCATGTAGCGTGGCTTCCTAAGGAGCTATCTAAAGCTGAAGGGATGTTGAAAAAGCCTAAAAGAAGCCTCATTCTTCATTCTAGGTGACCATATCCTCTGTGGTCCTGACCTTCAGCTTAAGGAGCCATGCTCCCTCCCCATCACCACACTCCAATCATCCTCCAGGCTTGTCTGTGCAGCTGCTTGGTCTCTGGTCAGTCCTCCCTTCTGAAACTCCCTGGGCCTTTTTGACAAGATGCAGGGATATTTAAAGAAGGTGAAAGGTCATAAGGGAAAGAGTAAAAAGATCTTAGGGTCCTAAAAACCACAAACATAGTGATATTAATGTTTTTGGTCTCTTTTGATAGACCCTTTAGTCTTATACTAATAAATATGCTAGTTGTCACTGACAAAAATCTCTCTCTCCTCTCTCTCTCTCTCTCTCTCTCTCTCTCTCTCTCTCTCTCTCGCACACTCACACACACACACAGAAGAGTGTCAGCTAATCAATATAGAAGGAATAATATATTAAGAAATATTGGTAGCAAGATGGCGGCATAGGTAAACACCGGAGACTGCTGCCGCAAACAACCACTTCAAAAATACAACTAAAAGACGGAACGGACATCACCCAGAACCACAGGAAGGCTGGCTGAGGAGAGACTCTTCAACTAGAAGGAAAAATAACAGCACACCGAGGCTCAGAGGAGGCGCAGTGTGGAAAAAACTCAGGTGCGGAGGTGCGCGCGCAAAGCGGGCTGGTGGCTGAGAGCGCGGTTGTCGTTTTCGGTCAGGGGGGAGTCTCAGACTCTGAGCTCCAGATACGGGCGAATCGCTGGGGACTCGGACCCAAACGGGAGAAGCGGGAGTGTCTGGCATCAGTTGGAAGGCAGCTTTCCCTCCGAGGTTTGCAGCGGTTCCGGGGGTTCTGAGAAGCAGAGCCTCTGGGAACAGGACTGAGGGCACCATAACGGCTCCCTCCGCCCGCCCTGCCCTGTTGATCCCGCCCCGCCCAAGCCCTGCACAGAGCCATTTGCCAGAT